TTGTTGTTGGTGACAACAACATGTACCAGCAGCCAGCATGGCCCTTCATAGAGTGGGCTCATCCCCTGTGTGTGATGCCCAACAGCATCGCTAAAACATACTTTCTGGCCTGTAAGAAAACTTCATATCCTGAAGTGGCCAAGGAACTGGGCAAACATAAAAATAAATGTGACCAAAGATATTCAAATATCTTTAGAAAATATATGGGCATCTTTAGAAAATACAGTTTTTCACAGGGATATTAAGTAATTTTAACCAACCAAACAAGAGTCTAGATGTATAACCCTATGGTGTAAGAGCCCTTTGTGTTGCTATAACAAATACTTGAGACTGCGTGCTTTATAAGGGAAAGAGATTTATTTATCTCACAGTTCTTGAGGTCCAAGAACATGGTGCTGGCATCTGTTTGGCTTCTGGTGAGGACCTCATAGTGGATGACATAACAATGGTGGGAGCACGTTAGAGAGTGACAAATAGACACATGCAGATGAGATAAAACACCAGGGGTAACCTTGCTTTTTAACAACTGTGCTCACAGTAATTAATCCAATCCCATGAGACTCAATTTACTCCTCAAGACCTAATCCAATCTCAAGAGGTCTAACCTAGTCTCTCAAGAAAGACATTAGAAAGACATTAATATATTTATGAGGAGGAAGTCCCCATGATGCAATGATCTCTTAAAAGTCCCACCATCTCCCAACACCATTACATTGAAAACCAAATTTCAAAATGCATTTTGGTGAAGACAAACCATAGTGCCTACTTTTTTAAATTTACCCTGAAAATTATTTTAGGTATTTCACTATTAGATCTAGAATATTTGTGCCTATAGTCAATGCATTCTTTCTCTGTGGGAAGTTTGCTGATGGTGATGAATTTTTAGATCATGGGAATGCAAGGAATTTAATGGCAGTACCAGCATCCAATGCCAGTCCATTTATTTTCTATAGACATGTGCTTGGCAAATAAGCTTGAGGGAATACTCACAGAAGCTCCTGTGCATTGTTCCCAGTATATCAAGAAGAGCTCTTTCTTGATGTTTGACTCTCATAACAAAGACCCCACTTAATAACTTTTAACTTACAATTTCTCCCCACAAGATGTACTTCAGAGAATGACTTTCTGTGGGAGGTTCCTTACTGGTTCCTTTGCTGGGGAAGGGGGTGCTTCTAGGATAACTGAGAGCTCTGACTTTGGAGTCTATAGACCTGGTTCAGATCGTTACCCTCACACAAGACCTGAGGGCTCCTGCCACAACCTCCTAAGTACTGGTCAGAAATTACCTTTAAATAATACTTGATTTAGTTTTCTTTTACCTATACACACACAAACTAGTTTGAATGTTAAGTGCTAATCATGTGCATTAGCTTTCTGTCACTGTGACAAAATACCTGAGATAAAAACTTAAAAGGGAAACTTTGTTTTTGCTCACAGTTTCAGAGGTTTCAGTCTGTGTTTGGTGGACTGAATTGTTTTGGGATCTGTGGTTAGGTACAACATCATGGTAGGGAACACGTGGTGGAGCAAAGCTTCTCATTTTCCGGCAGCCAGGAAGCAAAGAAAGAGAGGGGAAGGAGCTGGGGTCCCATAGGCTTATGGATTCCTCCACCTCCTGGTAGCACCATGGACTAGGGACAAAGCCTTTAACAGAGAAGCCTTTGGAGGACATTTAAGATTTAAGTCATATGTTTCTAGAAGTGAAGAAAGCAGTGGCAAACAAAATCAATGCATGGCTGCTTTATTTTTAAGTGGTTTTATAAACCAAAGGGGTAAATATTTCAGAAAGAGCCTTTTAATTCCAAATGTCATGGCCCATTTGCTTCTGCCACCTGATTCTTTATTCATGCCAGGCATTCTTTTTCCTGTGGAAGGGTAACACACCATCTCTGAGGAGGGACAGATTCCAACCCCCATGCTGCTCTGTTCTGGGCTGGGGTATGGAGGTTTCTTGGGCACACCAAGGATATTCAAAGCAGGAAGGAGATGAGATTCTGAATCTCAGGTTGAAGTTGGTAAGAATCTTGGAGAGTGTCAAATCTAGACTCTTATCTTACTTCTGACAGATCTAGGGTGATCAAGCCCTGTCTCTGCCATGCTGTGGTCTCCTACCATCCACCTTTCCTTTTGGGCCTCCAGAATGGCCCAGGAAGAGACTGCTGGTCAGGGCTTGACAGTAACAGCCTGGAAGTCTCACTGGGAGCCCAGAGCTGTGTTTAAAAGGTGTGACAATCTATTGAGGTCCTCTTCTAGGCTTTCAAACCCAATTAGAAAACTTATTAGCGTATGGAGGCAAAGGAATAAAGATCTCTTCTTCCTGTTTCTTTACTATATACTGCCTATACAAAGGAACAGTATACTTTTTTAAAACAAGTAGTCCTTCCTTTTCTTCAAGGAATATACCTGAATATTCCCTGTACCCCGAGTAGATGCCTGAAACCATGGATAATATCAAACTCCATATAAATTGTTTTTTCCTATACATACACACTTATGATGAAGTTTAACTTATAACATTCAGCAAGAGATTAACAACAATAACCAATGATAAAAATATTCTAATAATATACTATAAAAGTTACTTGAATGTGGTCTCTCTCTTTCAAAATATGTATTATACTTTATTTTTTCACTTAAAATATTTTATGGCTTCTCTTTCTTTTGTCTGATTTGTTGGCAACCCTACTTTTGTGCTTTGGGGCCATTATTAAGTAAAATAAACATTTCTTGAACAAAAGCACTATGATATCTTAAAGATTCATCAGATAACTGAGATGACTACTAAGTGCCTAATGGGTAAGTAGTGTATACATTGTGGATACATTGGGCAAAGAAATGGCTTGTATCCAAGGAAGGACAGAGGAGGATTTCATCATGTTAATCAAAATGGCATACAATTTAAGACTTATAAATTGTGTCTCTTTCTAAAGTTGTTCATTTAATATTTTCAGACTGTGGTTGACTATGGGTAGCTGAAACCACGGATAGCAGAACTGCAGATAATGGGGGAGTACTGTAAGGCAAATGCTATTTATATAAGATGATCTGCTTTATGACACCAGTAAGACAGTTCTAAGAACTTTACTTTTTGAAAAGCAAATATTCCCTATACAGCCACCAACAAATGTAGATAAAATACATATGTTGCCTGGCTGCCTTGACTAAAAGTTTAAATCAGTGAAATGTACTTTTCAAATTGTATTAGTATTAGTGAGATTCTTCCTGGGTGGAGTTTCATTTCAGAATTCTGGGGACAGTGTTTTGTTTGGGGCAATGTATCACAAAGGAAATGGGTCTCAGAGACCCTAGGGCAGGACATGCACCTGGCCTTTGTGTGAAGCAATCCTGGATTAAGGAATATTCTTCAGCCTTGAATGAATTTTGGGAGATATTACAAAGGGAGAATGGTCTCTTAAAAATGATCCAAATCTTTCTTTGGAAATTAAATGTTTAGATATATTAAAAATTCCTAAAATCACATTTTATTTTCCCCAAGTAGAATTGATCCTTTCAAGATATATTGTCCCCCCCCCCGCCAGGTATCTGATTTCCATTTGCAGTGCTGAAATATTGCATGTTTACTCCAAAAATACAAGTCCACATTTGATACACATTTCATTGGTCATGTGTAAATTGTAAAACCAAATGGTGAAGGAGTTATTCTTGATTTTAGGGGTGGGGTAAGGGAGAGAAAGAGCAGAGAAAGAAAGGAACACCTGGCCCCAAGTACGTGTGCATATGTGCCATGTATACATATATCTTAAACTTATTTGATCTTTCCCTAGTGCCCAAATGGCTAAAGAGAAGTTTTCCTTTTCAGCCAGAAATCCCATTAATCCACGCTAACACTTTGGCCTGGAGAAAAGCACTTGTGGCATCCGGGTGGGCTATCCAAACACCAGAGCTGCCTCTCGTGAACAGCACCCTGCTCCAGGGCAGTATGTACATTGTGTGTGTGGATTATGGCGTTCTTCAACTAGAATATGTTCTTATTAGGTAAGCAAAAGAGTTTTGCCATCTTTCTTTTCAAAATATTATTTGCTCTATGGCAAATTTGATATTTCTGGTCTGTTATGATTTGGGTGAGGTTGTCCTCATCAAAATTCATATTGAAATTTAATTGACATTGTGATGGTGTTGGAAAGTGGAGTGATTGAGTTGTTAAGAGCAATCAATGCTACTCTCATAGAACTGGATTAATTCTTGAGGGAGGGAGGAGAGAGGCAGTTTTTACACTCTTGGTAGTAGATTAGTTATAGAGAGATATGATTGTTAAAAAGCAAGGAGGCCTTCCTCTTTTGTCTCTTCCAAATGTGCTGGTTGCCCTTCTTTCCACCACGCATTGGAGCAGCACAAAGTCCTCACCAGCACCATAATCTTCAATTTCCCAGCTTGTATAACTGTAAGCCAAATAGATCTCTTTCTTTTATAAATTAGATAGTCTCAGGAATTGTGTTATAACAACAGAAAATAGACTATGACATATTCATTTTATTACTTTGAGGAATCCAGTTAAAATCACACATCCCCATCCTAGAGCAGTTGTCACTCTGTGGTTTCATCTGTAAACATCATTGTTACAAAGCACTTCCTGCTCACTCCTTCCTGCAGAGCTAGCCTTGCAAAAGAGGGACCCTGAGTCCCTTGGAGGTGGCACTCATAATCAGTCAGTCTCTTCCTATCCCTCTCTTTCTCAATCTCTCCATCTTTTTCTTTCTTTCTCTCCCCTTACGCTCCCTTTCTCTGCCTTTCCCTGTCTCTCTCTCTACTATATTCTTTGTTTCTTGTGCTGATACTTAATTTCGGCACAAGCTCCCCATGTATAAAGCCCCCCTGGGAGTTCTTCCCTCTCCTTAAGAATTGGATCTGGAGACTGGGGAGGAGTCTCGCATTTCTCATCCCCTCCCACCATTCCATCTATTCACTTCATTTCCTTGGGTTGCATTCCCCTTCTCTGCTACCACTGTAGGTTAGGATGTTTTGCTCTGAATTCTGCAACCCCGTCTCCCTAATGGGCTTCTGCCTTCAACTTCTGCACAGAACTTGCAGAGAGTAATCCAGAATTCCTCTGCTTGGTACTTTTAGGCAGAACCCTAACAACTAAATTGAGAAATCAGGGGGTCCCTGAAGTGCAATCCTAGGCTCAGCCAGTTCAAGGTTTGGACTTCCCTTGAGAACTTACTTTATTCTCTTTCTAGCCACTGCCCCTGCTGCCTTGCCCATTTGTTCTCTTTCTTCCTTTTTTTTTTTTTTAAGATGAATTAACATAGGCACTTTTATTTTTTAATATTATTTAAATATTTTAACTTCACACATTTATTGCTTTTCTAAGTAGGTTAATCTGCATCTCACCAGAGTGACTTTAGTGTCCTGATTCCTATTTGAAATAATATTTCTGAAGGGATCCATGAGCAAGCCATATGCCCTGATTCACAAGCTCATTCATTAGCACTGAGTTAGAAGAATGGTATCTTTCTTCTATGGGAAAATGAAAATCACATCTTATTGCTTAAAATATCAGTTTTTAAAGAATATTTTACTCCTAGATATCTGCATAGTTGACCCTATCATCATCTTCCAGTGCTTGCACAAATGTCTTCTTTTCCATGAGCCTCTTTAATTGTAGTCTGCTTTCCCCACCCTTTCCTATTTGGCAGCCAGATCCTGTATTTAATTTATGTCACTTATGGACTCATAGATTATTGCTTACTTATTTTTTATGCCAGTTATTTGTTATTTGCCAGTTATCACTTACTAGAATAGAAACCCTACCAGGGCAGAGAATTTTGTGTGTTCACTAATGTGTGCTGAGCACCTAATACAATCTCTGTTTCGTGAACAAATGATTGAATGAATGAATGACTATAGACTAGTGATTTGAAATGAATTTACCCTATGGATTTTAAAAGTGTACATGGGTCTATGCATTTGGACATTTTTGTTCTCAAACAAAGGAGGCTTTAAGAAAGCAAATAAGTATGATGATTAGTGTACTCAAACCTATTAGAACTTTGGGATGGCTAATTTTAAAATAGGAAAGGAGTGTGTGAGTGTGTGTGTGTGTGTGTGTGTGTGTGTGTGTGCGCGCGCGCACGCGCATGCATACATGCACATATGCGCATGTGTGGGGCAGAGAGGAGAGCTGTATTTAGGTATGTGTTGTGTCTTTCTTTCCAGTAATATTACCATTTTAAACTCTTGATTTCAATCAAAATTGTCCCACTTAGAAGGTACCTAGGCCAACTTCACCTGATGAAATGTCCTGTTTCCCACAAGGAGATTGACAGTAGCCTCAGATCTCTTGTTATGAAAGAAAAGTGTTAATGACTTTTCCCATTTCAGTACAATGTCTCTTCTCTCCTAAATTAATTTATGAGGCTGACAATCTCCTAGACAACTGGAATCACTTTTGAAACTTAAGTTAAAAATGAACTGAATAATCTTTGGATGCCACATGGAACTGTGGCATCTAGCCACAGCAACTTGCAGGGCTGAGGATGTGAGGTTTCCCCTCAGAAGCTATACCAGTTACTTTTATGTGCCATATATTCTTATGTCCTTTTTGAAAGACATGCACTGGATCTTGATACTTATTTTGGAGTGGCAGGTTTGGGTCAAAATGTTTCATTGCATGCATATGGCCATTCACTTTTCTTCTGGGCTGGATTGTCCTAGTTCTTTTTTCATCCCTGGAGGAGGATAGTATTTTTCAAGGTATCAGGATGTCTTGGGGATTAAAAGGTCTATAGCAGTCATGAAGAGCCAGTGAGTACATGATCTAGCTGTTCATCTTCTGATTTTATATCCAAAGGAAATGAAATCAGCATACCAAAGACATACTGCAAGCCCATGTTTATTGCAGCACTGTTCACAATAGCTAAGATATGGAATCAGCCTTGGTGCCCATAAACAGATGAGTAAATAAAGAAAACATACATAATGGAGTATTATTTGGCCTTAAAGAAGAATGGTTTTTCTTTTTATTTGCAGCAAAATGAGTGGAACTGGAGGGCATACATTAGGTGAAATAAGCCAGACACAGAAAGACAAGAACCACATAGACGTTCTCTCTTGTCTATGGAAGTTAAACAAAGTCTGCCTGAGTATAAAATAGTGATAGTGCTAAGAGCATGGCAGAATGGATAAAGGCAGGTTAGATTTGATTAGTATACACTATATGCAAGTTTTGGAAGATTAGACTAAACCCCACCAATTAATATGTACAACTAGTACATATTAAGCAGAAATAAAATGAAATATTTAAATTGGAGGAAAAGCCAGTACAGAGGCTCCTGGGTTGAGTCATGTAGGCCAAGGTTAGGGTGACTGCAGGGTTGGCTACAGTGCCGTCCCTGAGAATGGTTGTGACCCAATAAGCAGTGGTTAGCCTGCTTCAGTTTCTTTTTGGAGTACCTTGCTCATCGGAACTTGCTATTGACTGGTTTTGTGGCATGATCCAGGAAGCCATTGAGCTTCCTGTAGACTCCACCACCTATTTTCAACTGCTGTCTTCAGAATTCATTTCCATGGAGCACCCCTCAGAGGGCTTTGGGGAAGAAAGGAAGCCTTCACAGTGGCTGCCCTTGACTCATCTTCAGATAGCCTGTTTTTTTTGTTGTTGTTGTTGTTGTTGTTAATGCACTGTGCTGTTAGTGTTATCTCAATAAGATCAACACAAAGTTTTCTTCTTGGCAATTAAACCGTGTGGTTAATGATAATCAGTTCTTTTTGTTGTTGATGTTAATAGGTCTGGTCAACAGATTGTGACATGATTCTAAATTGCCTCCGCAGCCTCCCACCACCATATTTCCTGTTTTATGGCACTGTGAATGTGTTGTGGGGAGTGAAGAATTAATTTACATGAGTGTCTGTTGATTGATTAGAAACATGTATCAATCAAACAGTATAATTTTATGTTTCATGTGATATATAATCCTATCAAAAACTGCAACACCCAACTTGCTGTTCTACATTTCAGATAAAAAATTGAAACATAAAGAGTAACAAAGTCACCTAAATTCATAAATTTAGATGATGTGACAAATTGAAGTGATGTGACAAATCAGATATTTGTGTCACCCCAAAGTTCATATGTTGAATCCTCACCCCTAATATGATAGGACTGGGAGATGGACTCTTTAGGAGGTCAGTTAGTTATGAGAGTGGAGTTCTCATGAATGGGGTTAGTACCCTTATAAAGAAGACCCCAAACACTCCTTTGTATCTTCCACCATATGAGGATTCAGGGAGCCATATTATAAGAGCTATTTGAATTTCATACATGTGTGACAGCCATTCTGATTTAATGGAAACAAGGGAGAAGTCATCAAGTATGAACCAGAAAATTGGCCCTCACCAGATACTGAGTGTTCCAGTGCCTTGATCTTGGATTTCTAGCCTCCAAAATTATGAGAAATAAATGTCTATTGTTTAAGCCAATGATATTTTGTTATAGCAACTAGAATTAGCTAAGACAACTGAATTGGACATGGAACATATTGTTTCAGCTGACAATAACTTCTGTAAACAAATGCATCACTCATCTTAGTAGACCATTAAAATCTATGTTATATAAACAGAAACTCAATATTCAACTTCCTGCATTCTATATTATTGAGCAGAGTACCTACCTACCAAATAATAGTTGTGGAATTAAATGTTTGTGGAATTCATATTTATAATCAATATATGTCTATAGATATCTATCTATATAGATATACATATATATAATGTATCCATTTAGATATCTAAAGACATCTCTATATATGTATCTATATAATTTATAATTATATTAGCCAATTTATATCAATAGTAATCAATTAAATCACCTAAATATTGAAAATAGCACAGGGAAACACCACTTTTAACATTGGCAATATTGAAACAAGTGTTTATATAGCATCACTGGACATTATATTCAGACTTCTTTAATGTATCGAATATTAACAAATAAAAGTGATTGTACATATCAGTAACAGTTAGAATTTAACAGTACA